GCGGCGTCGCCAACTCCGCCGCGCAAACCGCGCTCCTGGCCGCGCGGCCGCTGTGCGCGCCCCTCAGGCTGGACCACTTCATCTGCGAGCTGCCGGCGCTGCTCAAGCTGGCCTGCGGCGGCAGCCGAAACGCCACCGAGAGCCAGATGTTCGCCGCCCGCGTGGTCATCCTGCTGGTGCCGTCCGCCGTCATCCTGGCCTCGTACGGCGCGGTGGCCCGCGCGGTGTGGGCCATGCGGTCCAGCGGGGGCAGGAGGAAAGCGATGGGCACGTGTGGATCCCACCTGACAGCCGTCTGCCTGTTCTACGGCTCGGCCATCTACACCTACCTGCAACCCACGCACAGCTACAACCAGGGGCAGGGCAAGTTCGTGTCACTCTTCTACACCGTGGTCACACCAGCCCTCAACCCGCTCATCTACACCCTCAGGAATAAGGAAGTGAAGGGGGCAGCGAGGAGGTTCCTGAGGAGTCTGGGGAGAGGGCAGGTGGGACAGTGAGTGGGTCGGGGAGGGGAGAAAGTATTAGCCCAGGGCCCCAAAATAGAAATACCCATTGGAGAGTAAGTCGGTTCAGCCTTCGAGGTGTTCATTTCTGTATGAGAATCTGCAGGATTTGTCTTTAGAGCACCCAGGGTTAATAGGGTAGATCCCTTCCTCCCATCAAGAAATATTTGGATTCTTGAGGGGAAATCCCTATATCCTTTATATATACAGGTTTAGGGAAGGGGAAATGGCCCTTGGCTTTTCTCCCAAGCTGATAAAGAGAGGAAGTATGATTTGGTGGAGACTTTTCTCATCCTCAGGGGATGCTATAACCACCCCTCAAGAGTCCATATGCAGGCAAGATGATGTGCTACACGGTGCTTACCTTTAAGCTTCCTCCCAATCTGACAGAAGACCCCATGGTCTCCACCATCAGAAGTTTCTCAAGTTGGCAAGGAAATCATAGTCCTTACCCTACAGGAGACCCCATGCAGAAAAGAGAGCCATGGTCTCTCTTCCCAGGGAATTAGTCCAACCTAATGCAGACCTAGCCTGATGACCAGTGCCCACCACACAGCATCTGACCCATAAATTGATGAGGAATGTCCATAAATGTGGGGAATTGTGCCGAGTGGGATTAAGTTGGAAAACCCTCCTGCAAGAGGTGTTTCTTGAACAAATTTTAAAGAAGAGAAAGAACTAGGACAGGTGGGGTAAAAAGCAGGTATGTCACAGGATATGAGAAAAACATACAAGTGGCCAAGACATGAGACAGGGACAGTGAGACAGAGCAGAAAATGGAGGAAGGAAGATGGAGGAAGGGACTCGAGTTACCAAGAGAGGAGTAGGGATGTCCTGATGAAGGAAGCAGGGAGGAAAGGCCCCATCAGTCAAATCCCGGGCAGAGTGTTGGGGTCAACTCAGAAGCCAACCACTTAACCCCCTCACTCAGACTCATACCCCCAACCTAGAGAAGACCTGCTAGACACTAAGGCAGGTAAGACAGAGACTGGTCCACAATCCTGCACCTTTCAGAAAGTCCATTCCCTCCTAAGGCACATCTACCCAGAAAAAGCCCCTACTAAAGACTCAAACTCCCTAGGTCCCCATGGAAAATATCTTCCCATGCCCACTACCATCCCCAGAAATGAGAACAATTTTAATTGAGTGTTGGACATAGAGGATAAGAGGGGGTATGTTGCCTGATTTCATTTCATACCAAACAGCTTTAAATAAGGAGAAAGGAACTAGCTTAATTGAATTTCTAATTTTTTATTAATGTCTGAGTAATTAATTCACTTCATAGTAATAAATCATTCAACTATTCCCTATAAAAAATTCAATTTTTCTCAACAATTATTGAATGCTATTATAGATAGAAGCACAGTTTAACATATATAGAAACACAGAAAACAGTAGAACGTGGATTCCGACCTAAAACTTATTATTTTGTCATGTGGGAAAGGAAATAGGAATTTTTCTATATATCAGAAGTTAACCAAGAAAAGATTAAATTTCAAGCTGGCTTTGAATGCTATCTCTAAAATGCCTTAAAATTTTATTTTCTATTCGCAATAATACATTGTAAACAATTCTGCCACTTAATCAATTATGTTAAAACCAAAGAATCATAGAGAAAAAATATTCTTCATCTTACCCCAAATCTTACTCTATTTATCTCATTCTCATTAATTGTGGAAAATCATCAAAGGATGTGGTTAGTGAGTGACAAAAAGAAATAAGCTCTTTAGCTCCTGATATCACCTTTCCCAGGGTGGTCAACCCCCAATGCAGTGGTATGTCAGGAAGAGTAAATCGCCCTTTCTGATGCAATAATCTGCCATAATCTTCCCGTCTTCCAGTTTTTTTCCATTGCAAGTCACAATCTGGGTCTTAGGGCTTACAGCAGTCTTTGTCTCAATCATCTTTTTCACCTGGGCCACTGAGTTGGATCTTCGCACCTGGAGGAGGTGGGTCAGCCCCTCATCACCTGATTCCACAAGGGTCAAGGGTAGCTCCTCATCACTGGGCTTCACCACTTTCAGGGTGAGGTGGATGGTTTTCTCCTTGTCAATACCATAAGATGATAGCTTTCTCTGCGGCTTTAGGGTCTTGGAACCTAGCAGAAGAAGCTGGTCCTGCACAGGAACCTTGGTCTTAGATCGGACATGTTCATTAATCTTCTTCACTCTGTCATCTGGGTTGGCACCAAAGGTCATTAATCCCCATTCCTTGGAAGAGACATTCACCTGGACAACAAAAGCCAAAAGACAGTTGCCTAGAATGCCTGCCACCCTTTACAGCCCCTGCTCCCCCCACCATAATTGTTCCCACCCTTCCCCTGCCTTTCTGATCCTCCAGCTCCTTTCCAATAATCTGTGCTTTCTGAGAAAAACTGGAATTTGTGCAAAACAGATTCTTATGCAAAAATGACCACCCAATGCCCTTCCTCTAATTTAAACCTTATAAAACCTTTTTAGTCGGTATGGGGGCAGGAGCTGATCTGACTCAGTCTCCCCTCCACACTGGTGGAATAAATCTTCTTAGCTGAAATGGCACCTGGCTCGGGTCTCTCTCTTTTCTCTGTCTCACCGCACCTAACAACCCCCACTTCCTACCATATATCCTAAACAGCAGCCAGTCCAAAGTCAGATTCAAGAGAACTCAGGGTCTAAATGACCAGCTTCTCTTCAGAGAACCCCTCTTCCCATTCTGCAGGTATCAATGCCTGTCTTCTGTCCTTGAAGATGTCTTCACAGCCACCTGGCCTCCCCAAGCACTGTCC